ATTGATTCCTTATTTAGATAAAAGCCTAAGCATCCTGCCTGGACTATAATAAAACAAAAGAGAATAGTGTTAAGCCTAATAACAAGCACGATGCAGAAAACTCACAGAATTACCAAATCTTAAAATAAATCTTCTGATTCATTTAAGTACTTTTCATTGAGCCTTGTCACAGGGCACCTTGGAGCCTCGCTGGCTCAGCTGGAAAGCTATGTCTGCCCATCTACTGCGGCACCCCATGCTGGGGCCTTACTGCCTACACTGGAGGGGAGAAGTAACAACAGCCATCTGTTCAAACTTCCCTGAGACCTCCGTGACTTTGCTCAGTCTCCAGACTGCTTAGCTCCTTCCCTTGACAATCTATTGGCTTCTTCATTGGCCATGAATCCCAGATGGCCGGAGCATGTGTCCACTGCATGTCCACGCTCTGGGTGGGACTCTCCAATGCCACAGTGCTCCTTGTTGATCACTTTCTTCCCTGTAGTTCTCTACCCACTCTTCTTCCGCCCCAGGACCCCGCTGGTAACCCCATTTATAGTAAACGTGCTGCCCAGGTATAGGACCAGGTTAGTGATGGTCTGAGCCTTTGCTCATTCCATGGCTTTGCAGGTTACATGGATTTCTAGTGTCTGTCACCAGGGAAGTCTAATGCCTACATCTGAAGTGTGGCCTGGCCCCTACTCCACACTGATTCCTGTTCCTGTCCTCCCACCTGCTGCTACTGGAGCGAGAAGCGTCAGTGTAGACGACGAGAGTCTCATATAAGAAGAGACTTGCTAATGGAAGGACCTGACCGTTCCATCTCATGTGCTTTGCACTCAGCTCTGTGTTTGCATCTTCATGAAATCAAGCTCAAGTATCACATGGTTTCTCTTCTATGAGAAACCCAACTTATAAATAATTTAAAAAGCAAAATCAAAGACACATAATAGGAGACAGGGAAATAGATCTTTTGCAAATGGGAAGGGGACCAAAAGATAGAGGGAGGAAACCAGGTGTGGTGTCACACATCTGTAATCCCAGCACTCGGGAGGCTGAGGCAGCAGGATCGTTGCAAATTTGAGACCAGCCTGGGCTGCAAAGTGAGCTCAAGGCCAGCCTGAACTGCATAGTGAGATCCTGTCTCAAAAAAGAAAAGAAAAACAGACATTTAACAGGGGAAATAAAAGGGTCCTAGAGCCGCTTACTGGCTTTCACCTATAATTCTTGTGCATTTTTCTGCCTCTCTGAACCATCTGGGCTCACAGAGCTCCTGACAAAAGCCCGGGTTTCATCTTCTGTGCCAAACTTCTTAAATCTTGCAGGCGGAATCCAGTCCACTGCGCACTGCACTTATTCCAAGTCAGGAAGACCCAGGTCCTACAGCCCCTGCATTAGGCATAGAGCACCCTAAGCCTGCAGCAGCGGCAGCTGAAGCACATGCAGCCAGGGTGACTGTGGGCCAGAGGTAGGAGGCTAAGCATTGCTCACTTCCATGAAGACCACCACATTTTGGACCCGCACTGGACTCTCGCTGAACTATGGATAGTTTTACTTCTTTCCAATATGGATTTCTCTTTCACCCCTTCCTTCCTTCTTCCTTCCTTCCTTCCTTTCTTCCTTCCTTCCTTCCTTCCTTTCCTTCCCTCTCTCACTTTCTTTTCTCAGTACTGGGAATTGAACCCAGGGCTTTTGTACTGAGCTACATCCCCAGCCTCTCCCCTCAACCACTTTTATTTATGAGACAGGATCTAGCTAAATTTTTAAATTGCCAGGGCTGAGCTCAAACTTGCAGTCCTCCTGACTCAGCCTCTCAGGGTACTGGGAATCACAGTGTCCAATTCAGGAGGCCAGTTTTTTGTTTGTTTTTTAGTTTTTGAGACAGGGTTTCACTATGTACTTCAGGCCTTGAACTCACTTTATAGCCAAGGCTGCCCTCAAACTCACAACGATCTTCCTGCTTCATCTCCCAAGTACTGGGGTCACAGGTATGAGCCAACACACCTGCCTAGGAGGCCAGTTTTGGTCTGTTTATTTTGTTTGTTTTGTTTTTTGAGACAAGGTCTCCCTATGTAGTAGAAGCTGAAGCTGGCCTTGGACTCACTGTGTAGGCCAGGCTGGCCTTGAATTCCTTGAACTTTCCTGTCTCAGTCTCTTGAGTGCTATATCACAGGTGTGTGCCACACACACCCAACGCAGGAGGCCAGTTTTGGGTTTTTGGGTTATTTTGGGGTTTGGGGTTTTTTTTTGAGACAGTCTCTCTGTGTAGTTCAGACTGGCCTTGAACTCACTGTTTGACCCAGGTTGACCTCAAACTCGCAGCATTCCTCCTGCCTCAGCATCCCAAACCCCACCACATGTGCTGGAGGCCAATATTTAAAGATTAGCTGAGGTGGGCCAGGGTCCAGTTGGTTATTATCTGAATCCTGGTTTTGTAGCTCAGGTTGAATCCTCATGATTTAAGGGGCAATTTGGTTCCCATTAGAGGAATCCTCATGGCTGGAAGGGTGGAACTATTGCCAGGAAATGATTGTGTGTGGTGGTCTCAGTCACGTGGAGCTTCGCTTTTCTTGGAATTGAGGTGATCACAGGTTTAGGACAATGTGTGGGAGCCCTCAGGGCTGCTTGAATATCCCTGTAAATCCATTACCGTGCTATTCTCAGTCTTGAAGGAAGATGAGATTAATATAAGTTCAGGGTGCCAAGCGTGGTGCTGGTGGTGGTGCACACCTATAATCCCAGCACTTAGGATTACAGGCTGAGGCGGAAGAATCATTGCAAGTTCAAGGCCAGCCTGGGCTATATAGAAAACTCACCCTCAAAAAAAACAACAAATAAATCTAAAAAATTAAATTCAGAGTCAATCAACCTTGTTTTCCCAGCGTTTCTATATCCAGAGCTAAGAAGGGATTTGTGCCATAGGGATTTGGGGGTAGCAGGGGATGAGAGGGTACAGAGGGGAAGGGGAAGTAAAAATGATTAAGATTCGTGTATACGTACCAGTTCTCCAAGGTGAATGTGATTATTATATATCCAAACATATACTAATAAAAAGTTATAAAATCCTACAGCTAGCCGTGGTGGATTGAGGAAATAAAACAAGAAGGATACAAAATGAAGGTTAACCTTTGTCTTGTTTTCAGTAACGTCCTAATCATTTGTAAGCCCAAATGAAGAGTTTTGTTGTTGTTGTAATTTTTTTTTTTTTTTTTGGTACCGGGAATTGAACTCAGGACCTTGTGCTTGCCAGCCAGGCACTTGTGTCACTGAGTTATATCCCCAGACCTGTTGTTGTATTTTTTTTTGTTTGCAAAAATGTCTTTTAAGTCCCTGTCTTAGAAAAATACACAAATTGTGCTTTCAGTGAGTAACAGGCTAAGGGCCCAGCAGTCAGCCCATCTTCGTCCCTGCAATAGCCTCAATGTCATGACTATGTCACCACCACAGTTGACCTTAAATATCTAGTAGTATACCCATGCCGGTGACTGGGAGTGTAGTGAGATACCTTCTCTGGCCAAATAATAAGTCAGAGCTCCAAAACACTTCTGTTAGTCCTAAGGTGGTTGTTGGTAAGGCCTTGGAGGAACTCACATTATAAAGCTGTTCAAATTTCTTGGTCCGAAATGCATTTTTCTAGACTTTCTGTGGAGGCACTTCAGGATTAAGGACATCTGCTGAGTCATATTTAGGCAGCACAGGGGTAGAGCAAGAGACATGCCATCTCCACAGGAAGTAGGAGCCCTTCTTAGAAGTTCCTCAGGACAATATCAGCCAGATATCAGAAGAGACTAAAGGAGCTGGCTAGGCGGGTGTGGTGGCGCACGCCTGTAATCCCAGCACCCGGGAGGCTGAGGCAGGAGGATCATTGTGAGTTCAAGACCAGCCTGAACTGTATAGGGAGACCCTATCTCAAAAACACAAACAATAAATAAATAAATAAAAATAAAGGAGCTGGCTAAAGTTGTGCTCCATGCAGCACCATCTTGTCTGGGAGTCCACTGTCCCCGCAAGCTGCCGGTGCCCCAAAGAGCTAATTCCACGACTCACCTGTAAACCTGGAGACACATAGAAAGTTATGAGGGGAGTCTGCTTTGATTTCGCTTGGCTTGTGTTTGTTATCAAGTTGCTAGGAACAAGTTAACATCCTATCACACCAATGTTTTCACTTTCAAAGTGGAAGAGGCGGAGGAAAAATGCCACCCTCTGCCTCAGAAATAAATGAACCTGAGGGAAATCTGTGATGGTCGGGTTGTGGGACACGGGCCTCCTCATGGTATGGGGACGGGACCCCATGAAGTGCTCAGTACCTATGCCACTCCTGAGTGGGGAGTTATTCTTGGGGTCCCCTGAAGGACACCTGGGTCCTTCAAGGCCTGTCAGGTGTTCCTAGGGATCTGAGGGGCTCTAGGCATGCACCCCCTTTGCAAGACTGCTGGTGGTCGTAGGAGAGTGTTTGCCTCCTTGCGGGACATTATCTTGTAGTTGAAGGCTCAGGGCAACCAATGTGAATTCTGTCAATGCACAGAAAATTCCCGAAAAGCTGCACTCTCTCACCAGTGTGTGAGGGTGGCTTCCTGACATCCCACTGTAGTTGAGAAGCCAGGGATTGCCCAGCACCACTCATCCAGACCAATGCCTTCATGTCACAGACCCGTCACCCTGTGTTGAGGGCCTGGAGGGTGCCTAGCTGGATGGGGTTCATGTGTTGAGCTGGGGATCTAGGAGGGTGTCTGCTACAGTGAAGTAGTGAAAGGCGCTTCCTCATCTGCGAATGCGTCCCAATGATGGGGTCACTTTAGAGCCCATTAAGCTCCTGTCGACCTGGGAGATTCGTGCAAGGTGGTTATCTGGGTGTGTTTTGGCGGAGGTACCCTTTGCAGGATCCCGCAGGCGATGCAAGCTGTGCAGCCCGCGGGATCCAGAGCCTGGGGGCGGGAGCAGACGCTGCGCACAGGCGGCGCTAGCGGGAGGGGCGGGCGCAGCGCTCAGAGCCGAGGCTGCTGCAGTGGCGACAGCAGGTGGGTCGCAGCGGGTCTTGTGGGGGTCGGGCTCTGGCCCAGAAAATAGCCAAAGGCTCGGGTAGCTGGGGACAGGGCGCAGCGGAGCTAGACCGGCCGGCACCGGTGGCGTGTGGGTGCACGGGAGGTGCCTAGGTCTTGGCTCCAGATCTGCGGCTCAGGCCCTGGGCGCCCCCGCTTCTAGAACAGGTGAGCTGAGACGCCCGCCTGGCAGCAGGGGGGTGATTGCTACCCTCCCAGGCCAGGTGGCCTCTTCGGCCACGCCCCGAGCTGTAGAGCCGCTTCTGTTCCGGGTCCTGCAGGCCTGGCCCAGTTCCCGGGAAGCCTCCCTGCATTTCACCTTTTTCTTGGATCCACTGAGCTGCTTCCAGTCTCTCTTGCCTTTTGGGGCTGGCTTCTCCCCACCCTCAGAGCCACCTAGCTGGCTGCCCTGAAGGCAGACAGGACCTCCATGCTTCTCTGTGACCTCTTGCCCCAGTCCAGCCCTACAGCAGGTCCTCCTTATAGGTGTCTAGGGTCCCCAAGAGGAGACAGAGTCAGGGTGGGGCCGAAGCTGGCCAGGACCTGGCTGCGCAGCCTGTCATTCTCCTCTGTCTGGCCGTAGGGGGTTCCAGCCACTGGCTTGGTGCTCTTCATAGCCACCCGTCATGGCCCGGGGACTGCCCAGTGCTGCCAGCCTGGCACGCTTCTGCCAGAAGCTGAACCGCCTGAAGCCGCTGGAGGAGTCCAGCATGGAGACGTCCCTGCGGCGCTGCCTGTCCACACTGGATCTGACCCTGCTGGGTGTGGGCGGCATGGTAGGCTCGGGCCTCTATGTGCTCACAGGCACTGTGGCCAAGGACATGGCTGGCCCTGCCGTGGTCTTGTCCTTCGGCGTGGCCGCTGTGGCCTCCCTGTTGGCAGCCCTGTGCTATGCAGAGTTTGGAGCACGAGTTCCCCGCACGGGTTCTGCATACCTATTCACCTATGTGTCCATGGGCGAGGTGTGGGCCTTCCTCATAGGCTGGAATGTGCTCCTGGAATACCTCATCGGGGGTGCCGCAGTAGCCCGTGCCTGGAGTGGCTATCTGGATGCCATCTTCAGCCACAGGATTCGAAACTTCACTGAGTCTCAAGTGGGTGTCTGGCAGGTCCCCTTCCTGGCCCAATACCCAGATTTCCTGGCCGCCAGCGTCCTACTCGTGGCCTCTGCCTTTGTCTCCTGTGGAGCCCGAGTCTCCTCCTGGCTCAACCACACCTTCTCAGCCGTCAGCCTGATGGTCATCCTTTTCATCATCATTCTGGGCTTCGTCCTGGCCCGCCCCCACAACTGGAGCGCTGAGGAGGGTGGCTTCGCACCCTTTGGCTTCTCTGGCATCATGGCGGGCACTGCCACCTGCTTCTATGCCTTCGTGGGCTTCGATGTCATTGCTGCCTCCAGTGAGGAGGCCCAGAACCCACGGCGGGCCGTGCCCATGGCCATCGCCATTTCCCTTGGCCTGGCAGCCAGTGCCTATATCCTCGTGTCTGCTGTGCTAACCCTCATGGTGCCCTGGCGCAGCCTGGACCCTGACTCCGCACTCGCTGACGCGTTCTACCGGCGGGGTTACAGCTGGGCTGGTTTCATCGTGGCAGCTGGCTCCATCTGCGGTAAGAGGCCCTTCCAGGCAGGGTGGGAGAGAACAGTGCACTGCGGCCCTTCCCTGAGCCTCTCAGAAAGCACACCTCCATCCAGGCCTCTGTTTTATCAGTTATATAATGGCCCCAGGGAGGTGCTAATTTTTAAGACTCTCCACCCTGGTTTGTTAGAGAGGACCCCCCCTTCCCAGTTATATATAGATCTGGAATACCACATTCCGGAGTGATCGGGTGACAATCCACGCACACTTAGACTGAGACCGCAGACGAACTCATGCCCATATCTCCAGGGGCCACCCGTGCCCCAGCACCCCCAGCAGCCCCTGCTGGGCTCATTTACCATGCTCACAGTTCCCCTACCCTTTGCTGCAGCCATGAACACCGTCCTACTCAGCAACCTCTTCTCCTTGCCACGTATCGTCTATGCCATGGCCGCTGATGGGCTCTTCTTCCAGGTGTTTGCCCGTGTGCACCCCCGAACACAGGTGCCTGTGATGGGCATTCTGGTGTTTGGGGTCCTCATGGCTCTCCTGGCCCTGCTGTTGGACCTAGAGGCACTGGTCCAGTTTCTGTCCATCGGCACTCTTCTGGCCTATACCTTTGTGGCTGCCAGCATCATTGTGCTGCGCTTCCGGAAGTCATCTCCACACAGCTCCTCGGGCCCAGCCAGCCCTGACCTCACAGCCAAGAAGTACGACTCCTTCTCAGACCACATACAGCTAGTGGGTGCTGTGCAGGCCTCAACCCCTGAGCCTGGGCAGCTGCGACCAGCCCTGAGGCCCTACCTCGGCTTCCTGGGAGGGCTCAGCCCTGGAACCGCTGTGACGTGGGCACTTGGTATCCTGGTGGCCTCAGCTATCATGCTGGATTGCATACTGGTCTTTGGGGACTCAGCCCTGTACCTCCCACGGTGGGGCTACATCCTGCTGCTCCTCATCAGTGGTGTGGTATTTCTGCTCAGCCTCCTGGTCCTGGGGGCTCACCAGCAACAGCACCGGCAAGATACTTTCCAGGTACCTTCCCAGTAAACCCTGTTCACTCTCAGCCCAGCCAGCCCCCTTTGTCCCTTCCTCTTCCATCCCATAACAAATAAGGGTCCATGGGACTGGGGAGACCCATCCATCCGTTCTCATACCTATCTGTCTTTCTGCATGTCAAGGGAGCTGTTTTCAATAGCTCTAGAGACAAATAGAGTCTCTGTGGAATTTTTGTAAAGTCAGGCAGCTCTTTCCTGCAGCCTAGTTCAGCCTTGCCCTTGTACCCTTAGATCCCCTTGGTGCCCCTGACTCCGGCCTTGAGCATCCTCCTCAATATCTGCCTCATGCTGAAGCTGAGCTACCTGACCTGGATGCGCTTTGCCATCTGGCTGCTGATTGGTGAGTGGGGGTCAGGCTGGGACCCTCAGGGCGTGCAAGGGGGGATAAGAGGGCAGGCAGAGCTGGGACCTGCCCCTCAGGTTCATTACCACCCCTGCAGGACTTGCTGTGTATTTCGGTTATGGCATCAGGCACAGCAAAGAGAACCAGCAGGAGCCACCAGGGCTGACCACCACACGCTATGTGGTATTCCCCAGCGGCAGCCTGGAAGAGACGGTGCAGCCCGTGCAGCCTGTGAGCCAGGAACCAACCCAAGGGCCTGACAGCACGGAGTAGCTGGAGAGTCTGTGAGCCAAGTTGTGCTTTCCCTGCCCTCTCCCACATCCTTGAGAGGCCAGAGGAGCTGGGAGCTGCTTCTCTCCAAGGCAGCTTGGGTGTACAGCCGCCCAGGTTGAGAAGTTCTCAGGATCTTAGGACTCTATCCCACATACTGAGCTTCTGGTCTTTAGGGGATGGACCTTGGCCAGCATTAATGCAGTGGACTCTTTGCTCAGCACCTTCCTATTTATGACCAACTCCAGGTCCTGGGCAGGTGGGGTACGGTGGGCGGGGAAGAGGTTGCAGTCCCAGGGATCCATAATAATAACTGCTTGGTCAGCCATATGGGCAACCACTATGTCCACATTTTTTTGTGACCCTGAGTTCTCACCTGCCCCCAAGGAGCCAGGTGATTGTCTCCAGTCTGCAGCAAAGATGCTGAAGTTCTGCATGGTAGCTCTGGGACTAACCCACATGGCCAGCCCTGGGTCCTGGCCCCTCCCTCAGGACAGTGCCTCTTGACCAGTTCAGAGGGGAGCTACATATACCAGATGAAGAGGGTGGGGACCGTGGGAGGGGTCAGGGCTGGACCCTATGAAGGTTGCCTAGAAAAGGCAAGGGTTCCCAGAGAGACAGTGTGTGCCGGAAGCCTGGCCCCAGGACACTGAGGCACATCTGCACACAGGTATGTCTCACACACACACACATACACACACACACACACACACACCCTCAGGCACATGCCTGCATAGCCTGCATATCCCACACAACTACCCTGGGGTGCACACTCCTGCCCAGACCAAGGTGACACCTGTAACAAGCTCAAGCCTGGGCCACACCTCGCTTCCTTGTTGTGTCTGCCCACTTTGCCAGGGTTTGAGGTAAAGGCTGAGGTGGTATACACATGACTGGTACACAGTTGAGCATGAGTCCACAGATGCCTGGGCCTACCCCTACTGCCTTCTGGTCCACTCGGTGTCCCACATACAGGGAGGAGGGAATTCCTGGATAAACCCCAGGCCATTGATGGTGAACCCTTTAGAGACTGAGTGCCCAAACTGCAACCCCAAACCCATGTATTTATTGAAAAGTGCCAATGCTGGCCCTATGTGCACTGTTACCGGATGCTCATCAGCTGTGGGGTGATGCCAGGGGGACTTGAACTGTGCGCTGACAGAGAAGGCTCTGCGTGCCCACTGCAGCACATACGCCATAGTTGGCCACCACTGCCCTAGGCCCATGATGCATTCTCCCCCAACTAGGATGCTCATGCTGGTGCTGTGTCCACTGTGGAGAGCGCCCCTCCTCTCTGTAAAGACTACACAGAAAGATGCTGGCTTTTGCAAGCTTTTACTCCAGCAATGACATCAGCTTTCTCTAGGCCCCAAGGTCAACTGGGTACATGTGACCAACCTCCAATAACCAGACCTTGTGGGCCCTGACTTCCCATCCCAGCCCTCTGGACACTAAGCTCCTAGGGATTAAAGGCAGCAGGGACCTCAAAGGACTTACTGAGGCTGTGAGTGCCAGATGATTACAGTGCTAGCCCAGCTTCAGCCCAAGCCCTGGCACCTCCCCTGGTCACCACGAGAAAGCAGCCTCTCACTTCTTCCATGGGGTGGGTACTCCCAAATCCTTGCCCCACCCTGGAACCAAGAGAAGGCTTGGTTCCCATGGCTTTGTTCCTCCCATCCTACTGTGGTCTCCAGGACATAGGGAAAATTTCCATCAGGTAGGACTTAGGCCCCCAGAAGGATTCCAGAACCAGAACCTGGCCAACCTTCAGGGGAACCGTGGCGTCCTTTATTAGAGAAGTTCCTTGCAGCCACGACACTCTGCCTAAGATCAAGATTAGGGCCTTTGGTGTGAAGTGCCTCAGGCTGCACACCTGAGGGTTGGGCAGCTGGCCAGAGATGTTCCTAGGTATGACTGAGGCGGCAGTAAATTCCAGATGTATGGCCTTTCCACCCCAGGGGCTCTCAGGAAGCCTAGTGGTCAGTTTCCAGGGGGTTAAGGTGGAGGAACTACGAGAATTATAGAGAAGGCCCCCAAAGACTCAAGACCACCAACTCAGCCCCACCTCTCTCTCCTCCCTGTCCCGACTGTCTGTAACAGCCAAGGGCTGCCACAGGGAAGGGCAGGCACTCACAGGCTGAGCGCTCTACCTGTGGTGCAGTCAGGTGCCCCCGCTCACTCACCTCCGTAGCTCATGTTGTGCCACAAAACTGGTTTCTGTGGCTTCCCAGGTAGCAATTTGCCAAGGCTGGACTCAGGAGAGGCAGTCTTCCTGGGAGTTCAAGGGCAGAGTTCTCCCTCCGACTCCTACCCCAGACCTTCTGGGGTTCCATCCTTGAGGTTCCTAAGCCAGGACCCCTGCCCTTTCCATCCCTGTTCCCCAGACCCCAACAAACACAGAGTGGCTATGGGCCTCAGGAATAGGCAAGCAAGTGGGTGCTGGAGCCCAGACAGGAACAACCATGAATGCGTCTGGCACCGGGAAGCAGCGGCTGTGGGGACAGGTGGTGGTACCACCTAAGGCATCTGGACAGCTGGACTTGCGGGTGTGAAAACCGGCTTGGTCCATGAAAGGCTGGCAGTCGCCTTTGGGGCTTTTGCCTGCAGACAAGACATCAGGTCAGGGATCTGACTGAAATCTCCTAAAGTGTGGCAAAAACCAGTGCCAGCTAGATTTGCAACTCACCTCCTCATACTTCGTCCTCCAGTAGAAATGGGCTTCTCTATCCACATACAGCAGCAGCAGATCACAGAGGAAGGTGACCTGCAAGAGGCAGGGTCAAGCCATGTCCCACTCCCAACCTGCTCTCCTGCCACCTCCCCAGCTCTGCCCCCCAGGATGCAATGTGCAGTCCTACGACACTTTGGCAGACAGACAGGCACTCGCTTCAGCCAGAGGGAGCTGAGGGTGATCGGACTCACCACACCCAGCCAAGCTGCTCCGGTGCCCACTGTGATGGCCGTGGGGATGAGCCCGAACTTCCCTGCCTGAGAGATCTGGGATGAGCTTCTTAGGCCACAGCTGTCATGATTTGCTTCCTCCAGGCCCATCTATCTGTACCCTTCTCCCCTGGCCTGATCCCTACCTGCCCAGTGACGAGGATGTCAAAGCGGATCCCGAAGAGCTTAAGCAGGCTGCGACCTTCCACACCTGGAGCCTCCCACCAGTGGCTGGCTGTCCTGAAGGCAGGAGAGAGGGTTTTTGTCGCCTGTACTGCCCATTCTCAGGCTGGGCTGGTTTTCTTGGGCCTCAGTCTTACTTATCCATTGACCCCAAACCTCCAGCCCAAGCCTGAGTCCTGGGTCTTGGCCCTAAGTAGTTGCTAGGGACATAAGGAAAAAGCACACTGGGACCTGATTCAAGAAGCTTCCTGCCTCCTGAGGGCACGGGGATGGAAGGGTCCCTACATGAATAGCAACAGCACGGGATGGCGGGAGGAAGGGAGGCTGGAGGTGAGGACAGGCAAAGGCTTATGAGAGCCTCAAGGCAAGAATTCACTCTCCCAGAAGTGGGGAAGAAGGAACATATGGATGGTTTCCTGAAGGAGGTCCAGGCTGAGGAATCAGGGCCAGTCAAGGCCCACAGGTGGGAGGAGCAGATAGGGCAGGGAGCCAGCACTACAAGGTTGCGAAGAGCTGGGGAAAGATTTGGCAGGATATGGCGCGGTATGCCTACATCATCCCCAGGCCTGATGGCAGCCACGTGTGTACATATAGGTTCATGCGTGTGTGACAAGGTAACAGTAGGTGGCAGGTTTCCAGGATATCTTAGGAGATTTTAAAAACATGACAGTAAATCCAATTAAAGATCTTTGAGTGCCTCCTGGATTGGAAAAATACAAAGATTTAGGACCATAATTGGCACAGGTGGGATAACATAAATCCTAGGTTTAATCTGCCAATGTTAATTTTTTGGTGCGCCATTAGGATGGTGGTCAAATGGAAAAAGGTCCTTATCTCAAGACAGTGTTAAGAAGAGTGAGTGTCCCATGTCTGCTGCTTCCTTTCAGACGTTTTATTTTTTGTTGTTGCTTTGGTGTGGGAGATTGAACCCAGGATTGTGTAAGTGTTGGGAAGTGCTCTACCACTGAGGCCCATAACTGTTGTATTTGTAATCTATCTACATATATCTATCTCATTGGAGACAGGAATAGAGAAAGCAAATGTGGCCAAATGCAAAACAGTAACAACTAATGAACCCAGGGCAAGGGTATGTGGGTGTTCACAGTACTAATCTTTGATTCATTCATTCATTCATATTTTTTGAGGAACTGGGGATTGAATCACACTGAGCTGCATCCCCATCCTCTTTGTTTTTTGAGACAGGGTCTCATGAAGTCACTGTTTTCTAGGATAGGCTCAAAATTGCCATCCTACTGCCTCAGCCTCCCAAAGTGCTGGGACTACAGGCCTGTGCCACCACATCTGGCTTTCTTTTAACTTTTCTATAGATTTTTGGAAAAGTCTTAGATTAAACTGTAAGCACAAATTAAATACGGAAGCCCCTATGCCATGAAGGGGAGATGCTAGAAGCCAGGTGGAGGTGCTAGAGGGGAGATGCTAGAAGCCAGACCCCAGAGTCTGGAGGTGACAAGTCTGCACTAGGCAAGGAGTGGGGACAGATGGACTGGGGCAGGGGTAGATGGTACCTGTGCTGGAGGCTCAGGGGCTAAGAAAACTTCCTCCTGCACCCAGAATCCCCCAGAGCGCACACAGGGGAGCATCCACAGGGCTAGGACCCCGTTTTGATTTGTCTTGGCAGCCACAGGGAAATGGGCAAGGGGGAGCACTGGCCCAAGAACAGCAAGCAGGCAGTGGGGGTCACACCTGAAGTTGTAGCTCGTCTCCTGCAGCTGGAAGGAGTAGTGTGGCCAGCAGTCGGAGCCCCCAGTGTCCAGATCACAATCCCAATGGACACGGATGCTCACAGCACCACCCTGCACACGACACATCTCCTGATCCACCAATGGGTCCAAGACCCTCTCCCCGACCTCTTCAGGGACCTTTTTACCCAAGGACCTACCATCAGTGCCAGGTCCTCGAAGTCCCCTCCAGCTGCAGTCACGAGGTCCCCAATGCGGAACACGGGGCAGTAAGGGCTGGAGAGTGGATCGTAGCGACACTGCTTGAAATAGGCAGCATCCCAGGTGTCTAAGGAATTGGTTCTGGGAGGGGCAGAGGGGAGGATTAGATAATCAGGAGGTCGTGGAAGATCTAGGGTCAGCCAGGACCTGCCTCGCTTACTTGGAAAAGTTGAACTTGCTGAAGGTAACGGTGTTCTTGATGAACAGTGTGAAGTTCTCGGCTTGCATCAGCAGGGGCCTCCTGCAGGCAGAGGGTACGCTGCCAGAATTTTGCCCCATTTGGGGCCCTGCCCTGGGACTGAAAGGAGACTTACGTGGACACCGTGCTGTTCTCCACTGGGCACCAGCTCTGGATCTCACAGGTCCTGTGGGTGCCATTGAACACCACACACTGACCTGTTTTTATGCCTTGAAAACACAAGATGAACTCTAGGCCCTTGATCCCCACAGAGTCTGGGGAGGGTTTAGGGCAGGGGTTTATGGGCAGAACAGAGAGATGCAGGGTCCCAGCCCTGCTCCCAGTTACCATGGCTGTGTGTTCCTGTCTCCCCTTCAGGGCAGTCCTCGTCAGCCCAGCAGTTAGCCAGTGGGACAGAGGGGTGCTGAAGTAGACAAGAGACCCCAGTCACCAACAGCCCAGGGATGCAGCCCTACAATCTGCAAAGACACCCTCCTCCCTGCCTTAGCCACCAGGGTACCCCGGTTTGGAAACCCATGGGAAAGCTGGAGGGTAGAAATGGAGTTGGTCAATGGGGTGGTCAGATGGGAAATAGTGCTGAATTCCAAGGGCAGAGTGAGACCCCTTTGCTCCTGACATTTTCCTCTGATGGGGGCAGAAGGGAACGAAAGGAGTCACTGAGGTCTGGCTCCTCAGCTCCAATCCAGACAACAGAGTGGGAGAGGGGAAGGGAGCTTGCATAGGTCAGTCCCTGATCTCTGGCATGCCGGGGCAGAGGCTGGAGGGCATGGCCAGCGAGGAGCAGGACCCCAAGCCTGGGTAGGGAGGTAGGAACCACAGGCTAGTTCCCTGTTTGCTCTTCTCCTGCCTACACAGAGTCAAACACTGTGGGGGACAACCAGGAGGGGAAGGTGGGCAAGCTTTCTGGGACACTGGAAGGGAAAGCAGTCTACACTTTTGGAAACTGTCACAGAGTGTCACACGCCACTGCCACGGTACTCAGTTCATTCACAGCCAAAAGAACACAGCACCAGGAGTCTGAGAAGGACTGAGGGAGTCTGGAAGAGATGCAGGACTTTGTGAGGGATGAGACTACGATTAATGGACAGAAGACAGAGGACAGAGTGGAGCCACCTGCTTTGCTGTCCTCACTTGTGCCTAAGAATGTCCCTTCTCCTCAGCCTAACCTGGTCACAACGCCTTCAGCTAGACCCCATGGTGACCTCTACCTCTACCCAGCAGCCCGAGTGCTCCATCTCAATGCACAAGGGAGCGAGAGTGCCCCTCCTTGCGCCCATCTGTGGCTTCCTTCTGCCTGCCTTCCTTCCTCAGCAGGGCTCTCAGGGCCCCCGAGATCTTAGGCTCTCCACCCTACTCCAAATCTATACTTGAACATAAACATAAGCATAGTCATAGGCAAGAGTGTGCCGTGTGCTCACAAAAATGGAAGCTGGCTCCAGATACACTAATAGAGGCTGAGCACAGAGAAGAGAAGGTGATCTGCCATCTTTTTGTCTCTTGCTATTAGAGCCCACCTGAGGCCTGCTTCAGGTGTCACACCAACAACCTGGAAAGTACTCAAAGGAGGACTGAAGATGAGGCGGGCCCTCCACACCTCAGGGAAACTAGGGTCTGGGTGCTGTCACCCAGAGGCCTGGAGGCCTTGAGCAAGTTACTCAACTTTGCTGAGCCCCAGGTATCTCCTCTTCAGTGGGAATCATAATTCTTACTGGGAAAGGGTCTATGTGACATGGAAAGATTACAGGAACATGTATTTAGCCTGGTGCCTGGGATGCACAAAGCACACACTGAGCCTTCAGCCACCTGTGAAGGAGAAGGGAGACGGGGCTGCGACCCAGGCTGCTGAAAGGAGGAGGTACGAACCCACGGGGAGGCTCCCAGGCAAACTTACCTCTGGGCATCTGCCCTGAACTTGAGTTGGTGTCACAAGGAAATTGGTCACCAGGAAGAACACGTTCTCTCCCTAGGAGGTAAGTCTCAAGGTTGGTCCCTGCTGGCTCCTTCAACTGGAGAGGCCAGAAACTGATGGCCAGGTTTTTTGTTTTGTTGTGTTTTGTTTTAGTAAGTTCTGTAAAACCCAGACCCTCCCAGAAGCCTGATTTATGAGGGAAGTTTTCTTAGCCTCATCTCGTCACCAGGCACTTTGCCCAGTCACCAACTCTGTTCTTTTTTTTTTTTTTTTTCATCCGGTACTAGAAATCGAACTCACGACCTTGCACTTGCCAGGCAGACGCTTTGCCACTGAGCTAAATCCCTAGCCCCTACCAACTCTGTTCTTCTGGTGCCAAAATTGTAGTCCCAGTGACCATCTGCCTGGAGAGAAGCTGCTTTCTGGATGCACGCCCACCCTGTCCAAGGAGAAATCCTCTCCCTTTTCTGGAACCCTGGCTTCTTGTCCAGTGAGGGCTGTGGCATTCACCAGGGCAAAGCCAGGACCCAGATCCAGCTTTGGTCCCTTCTTGTCCATCCCAACACTTTTTTTTTTTTTCTTTTGTCTTTTTGCGACAGAGTTGGTGACTGGGACTGTGGGCCAGCTGGGTGGAGGGAGAAAGGACACACAGCCTGAAAGAGCAGAGGAGCACTTGATGGTACCTTGGGTAAGGGGGGAGGTTCAGGAAGGTCAGGCCCTAAGTCCCTCCACCCCTCCCACCCCATCTTCATCCTCAAACCTTGAGTCCTAGACAGCCCAGTCCTTTCCAGATGTGGCCTTTTAATTAATAAATTATTCTTGGATTTTTGAGACAGGGTTCACTATACACCTCAGGATGACCTTAAACTTGCAGCGATCCTCCTGACTCAGCCTCCCAAGTGCTGAGATTACAGGTATCCACCACCATGCCTGGTCTGGATACGCCCTTTTAAAAGGAATTTCCTCTGGCCTGGCTTTCCATTCCGTTATCCACTTGGAAACCTCCTGTCCAGGTACCACTCTTCTTTGAAGCCCCTCCTAAGCCTCTCCAGCCTCTCTTCCTAAGCCTCTTTTGGCATTGCACTCCTCTTTTGCACACATTTGCTCCAAGGCTGGTGTCAGAGCTGTCAGCAGGTGAAGTCATGTGCCCCCTGCAGCAGCACCAGGGACCCACCTGTGGTGGCTTCACAAAGTCAGCCACATCCCACAGCCGGTCCCCCAGCTCCTTGATCTGAGTCACGGAAACCCCTTTGAGTTTGGTGATGACAGAAATCTGGGGGTCCAGGTCCCATTCCTGGTAGCCTTTTTTGGCGAGGAGAGCCCACCTGGAGAGAGGTGACAGATGGTGTGTTGAGACCGGCACACAGTGAACAGCGGGAGTGCAGGCTGCCTCTGCAGGATCAGCTCCCTCCCCACACACCCTCTGCTCCCAGCCTGGCAGAAGGCACCTGTGTCCTCTCCAGCCTCACCTCCCTGAACAGTCCAGAGGCCAGCTGGACATCCAGGAGCCAGCACCTGCAGACACTTTCAGCAAACCACCCCTGTCCCAGTAGATTCACCTCTCTCCTTACAGACTTCTCTGACCCCCAGCTAGACCTGGTGGTCTCTCTGGCAGGGACCTCAGTGATCCAACTCTCAAGAATGTCAGAGACTACTACTTCCTGCCTACCCGCCTCTTCTGTGTGCAGAGCCCAGCACAAGGCTGGGGACAAGGCCTTAGGATGGAGGCAGGTAGGCACACAGGAACACAAGCACACAGCTTGTTTTTGTATACCGCCGACCTTTGAACAGATGAAGATCCTTCTGTCTGTCTCCACCCTATCACTACCCAGCACCCCACCACCACCACTACCACCATCACCGGCCTGATCTGTAAAAAGCCAGACTCTCAACCCTCAGCCCAGTAGGGTCAGTCATGATCACTCTGACCAGCCTTCCCAGGAGCTGTTCTCTCTTACCCCACCACATAGGTCACGACTCCGAGCTGGAATAACCTTTGCAAGGCACCCACTCGCCAGTTCCTGGTCATCACATACTTCTCGGTCTTGTAATCCAGAAGCCCCCAGCCGGCCACAGCTCCTGGTGAGCCCATGCTCCTGCTCTTGCTAGCTGCTGGTGCATGAGTCAGCACGGCAGCTGCAGCCACAGCTGAAACAGGAGTCAAAGAGGCGCCGAAGCAGGCCAGGCCAGCCCTTGTTAAAGGGACACTTCCACTCAGGGAAGGACCCAGCCCCCATACTCCAGCCCTGGGCTGTCTCACGCTCCAGCTGCCCTGGGGCTCCCATCCTCTCCGAAGTCCCTCTGCTGGACCCTGGACACAGAGGAGCAGCCCTGCCCCCTGTCCTCTGGCTTCACTTCCTTGTAGGGGTAATGACAATGTTTCAAGTGTTGTGAGAGGCCTGCGTGGGAGCAGCAGGAGCCCAGAGAAGGGGCCAAAGAAAGGTTCAGAAACAAATGGCCTCTGAGCTAACGTTTGCAGATTCTGAAATGCTGGAAGCAAAGTCGGGGAGAGATGTTCCTGGTGAAGCCAGCACCATCGCAAAGACATGAGAGAGAACTGAGCTCCAGCGAGAGTATAGTTTTAGTAAGCAAGGTGTTCCTGACTCTGCAGGTTCCCCAGGCCGTCCTACAGCCGTGCCCCACTTTGAGTGTTTCCCAGTCGGTGAACACTCAGTCGGGCGATATTGGAAGTCTACCGACCAGCAGGAAAAATGAACGCCCGCTAGCGCCTAGGCCTGTGCATGGCCAGGGACGCGCACTCTTATCAGTGCGGGCGAGCAGCTGGCTCAAGGTCAGCGCAGAGCAGCCTCCGTTCCGCCGCAACCATCAACACCGGGTTGCCCAGGAGACTGTGACGTAAAGCGAGCCTCTATTGGCTGTGGCAAGCGCCTGTTGTCTATATACCACAGTCTATTGGTCATCCTGAAAGAAGGTCCGCCCACATCCCAAGGCAGCCCTAAATGTGGCGCCACGCAGTCTCGGCTTCAGTGTGGGTGACTGCGAAATGGGTGTAACTATGAGGGATCCCTGCGAGAATTCTGCAGAGAATGAACAGGAGGAAGAAGCGAAGGCGGCCGCTGGGGATTTTGCAGAGGTCGCGGAGTCCGAGAAGGACTCGGATGCAGATTCCGACTCTGACCTGGAGACAGGAAGTGTCTCCGGTACGGGACCGGGTTTGACTCATCTTGAGGGTGCTAGGCGCGGGTGTCGGGAAGGGGCGTGGGCTCTATGGGAGGGCGCTTTTCCTTGGGGCACCTTTAGAACAGTCGGTGGCCCTTTATCTCTGTGCCCTCCATTCCTGCTGGCACCAAAAATTACACAATTAAGAACACACTTCTAGAACGCCTCTTAAATACGAACTGCTGGCAAACTGGTAGGAAGAGGTGTCCCACCCTGAGGTGGGTTCAGGGCTGGGTTTTCCTAACAGGAAAATCTAAGCTAATGGATGTATAGAATTTAGAATTGCTTTCCTCCCATAAAGTGCTCATAGAACATTGTGATCATGGGCTGGGTGTGGTGGAGCATGCCTGTCATCCCAGAGCTCCAGAGGATGAGGCAGGAGGATCTCTGTAAGTTCAAAGCCAGCCTGAACTACATAGTGAGACCCTGTGTCAAAAAACAAACAAAAAAATTGTGATCTGTAATTGGGGGACAGGGGACAGAGCATGCAGTTTAGCATCAGACAGGCAGTGTCCCAACTCTGGCTCTGACTCCCTGTGTGACTAGAGAAGGGATTTACTTTCTCTGAGCCTTGGTATCCTCCTCTGTAATAATGTGGGAATAGTCCTCAATAGCACAGAAAGAAGTGTCTCTAGAGGGGAGAGAAGCTAGATAGTGACAGAGGTCGGAAAAGAGGCAGAGGGCATGCCATCGCAGGGGTCCACATTTGTTTCCTTGTCTCCTCCCAGGCACCCGTGGACTTGGAGAAGTGGTCAAGGATACCCCCTACCGGAGGTTTTGCGAGGCCTTTAATGTTGTCCCTGCCTCCTGCATTCTGCGCCAAGAGAATGCTTCAGAGTTGAGCCTGCAGCACCGTGGCCTGGGGCCCCAGGTACCTGTGAGGGACACTGGAGCCTGGTTTGGAGAGGAATGACCCAGGAGGCAGTGGCCATGGCAGTGTCTGTCCTTGAGACTATCCCTCTCGCTGTTAGCCATTCTCTGTGCCAGCATTCCCTTCCCTACATCTGGGAGATAGGATAGAGGCTGTGACAGATCAGCATAAGTGTGTATGTGGGGTGTGCCTGCAGGCTCCTAGTGTGCTGGAAGGTTACAGAAAGCGCCAGGAGGTGAGCTCTGGGTAGAGCCTAGGAGATGCAGGTGTCCCCTTGGGAATGAGGGGCAGGAAAGGCTCTCTGGTTGGAGGGTACATGAATGGGCTGAGCCCTGGGAGCACAAGCCAGGGAAGTGGCCAGATGTGTCTGAGCCCCTCAGCCCTGGAAAGGAACAAAACCCTCAGGATCCTCTGCTTTGTCCCAGGGGGCCCGGGCTCTGGCTTCCACATTGACCTCCAATCCCTACATCAAGCGACTGGATCTTCGGGACAATGGGCTCTGTGGGGCTGGTGCAGAGGCCCTGGCAGATGTCCTGAGTAAAAACAGCATCATCTCTGGTAGGTGTTGAGCCTGGGGCGAGTGGGCAGGCTTGAGTCTTCCCTAGCCCCAGAGATGTGCTTCCTCCAAGCCTGGCCTTATTTGGGCCCAACTAGTATGGCTAGGATCTGGGAGAGGCCCTCACCATGGGGTGGGGGACATTGGGGTGGAGTTAGGCCCATCTAGCCAATGATGGATTCTGCTCTTTTCCTAACCTGATGTACCTTCCATCCTTTGCTGGCCACCACATACAGACACACACATGCGCACATGCATGCATGCACGCACGCGCGCGCGCACACACACACACATACACTCTCATAAAATTCAATGCCTGAATTCAGGTCGGGAGAGTCTTTCTTCACAAAGGGATGGGCTGGACAGTGGGGTGGGAGAACGTCATGGGAGTTTAGTGAGGCTGGATCCACATGCCAGCTCTGCCACTGAAGAGTAGACTGACCTGGACAACCAACTCAACCTTACTGAGACCATTTCCAATCCCTGAAATGGCCCCAGCTATACCACTTAGCCCTTGGGGTTGTGGTGAGCATTAAATGAAATTGCACATATGAAGGGGTCAGCAGAGTATTTGGTCCACATAAGTGCTCCCTGCATGGCCACTTGGACTAGTATTGCCAGTCCCTGGCCATTAAGGCAGAGAGAGCTCCTGTGGGTGGGTCATACTGCTGCCAGACACCAGGCATCAATGGGCTCCTCCTCCACCGCAGCACCAAAGGTAAGTGGTTTTAACCCTTGTCAGAGAAGTTCCTGGAGGTGCGAGAAGGTTGAAGTCAGGGGCTCAGGAGGACCCAGCCAATGACTAGCAGAGGTGCTACCATATAACCCCAGGACAGTCCAACTGCAAAGCCCCTTCCTCTGCCTCAGGCCTGGAAATATAGGGGATGGAGAAAGTGGTGGAGGGAGGTGGCTGCCTTTGGAGCCCACTGACCAAGGAGTGGTGCTGTTCCCTAGATGTGGACCTGTCGGAGAACCAGCTTGGAGCACCAGGGGTCCAGGCCCTCTGTGCCGCCCTCGCAGTGAACCAGGTAGTGCAGAAGATGCAGCTGTCAGGGAATGGCCTGGAAGAGCAGGCAGCCAAGTACCTTGCTGATCTCCTGCTGGTCCGTACGGGTCTGAAATCCCTGGATCTCAGCTATAACCAGCTAAATGACCAAGCAGGTAACACCTGGCCGGGACTGCCATGGATCATGAAAGGTCAGCTTCCTCTGGTGGCAGGGGATGGGGAGTAGGAGCACACTGAGTATCTGCCAGCGAACATCTGTACCATGGTTTCTGCTCCCCACACCCACTTTATCTCACCCCCCTCCCAGCTGAGACACACAGAACTTTTTTTTTTCTACCAGGAATCAAACTCACAACCTCACATTTGCCAGATAGGCACTGTGCCGCTGAGATATATCCCAGGCCCTCACGGAATCCTTAATTCATTCAAGTATCTCATTGCCCACTACTACCCCTGCTTGACACCAATTTAGCTACTACCAATCTAGCTGCTAATAAAACTCTGTCCCTGACCTCAAGAAGAACCTGTTAACAAGATAATTCTTAGTAATTATTGGTGTAAAAAAAAAAGATATGGTATCTAGAAAAAATTAGGGAGCCTTCGGTTTAGAGAGTTGGCTGGGGAGGCTTTTATGAGGAAATGACATTTAAGCTGAAGTGTGCAGGCTGGGAAGGAATCAGCTATGGCAAGACCAGAGGGAGGGAATTTCAAGGAGAGGAACAGTGAGTACACAGGTCTGTTTCCCAAACTGACAATAGCCAGCATGAGTGGATAAAGATCCAGAAGATAATGACCGGTCTACGGCATGGAGAGGCAAGAAGGGCTGCTGAGCTGAAGATCCTGGGAAAAGTATGGTGATTTCATTCCACCCAAAGACATGGGTGGGATTCTGTGATCTCATTGCTCTCTCATATTCCCGGGCCTTGGCATAGGCTTTCTGCTTTGTCAGGAATATGAACTTCCACCTATGTTTGTTCCTAAATTCTCCAGTCAATGATAACAATCACCTAGAAGATGTGTGTAGTGGTGTGCACCTACAGTCCCAGCCCTGTGGGTAGCAGAAGGATTGCTTGAGCCCAGTAGTTCAAGTTCAGCCTGAGCTACATAGTGAAATCCTTGTCTTTAACAATAAGAGCCAGGGCGGCTGGGGATTTAGCTCAGCGGCAAAAGCACCTGCCTGGCAAGCGCAAGGTCGTGAGTTCGGTTCCCGGTACCGGAGAAAAACCAAAAAAAAAAAAAAAAAAAAAAAAATAATAATAATAATAATAATAAGAGCCAGGCTGAGCATGGTGGTGCATGCCTGTAATCCCAGCACTCAGGAGGCTGAGGCAGGAGGATTGTTGTGAGTTTGAGGCCAGCCTTGGCTACACAGTGAATTTGAAGCTAGCTGAACTACACAGTGAGACCTTGTCTCAAACAAAACAAACAAACAAAACCTGCAAAAAACAAGAGCCAGGCATGGTGGAACATACCTGTAATCTTAACTGCTCTGAAGGCTGAGACAGGAGGATCACAAGTTCGAGACCAGCCTGGGAAACTTAGCAAAACCATATCTTAAAATATAGAAAGAGCTGGGATATATTTCAATGGTAGACTATTTGCCTAGGGTCTTTAAAGTCCTGGGTTAAATTCCCAGTACCACAAAAAGGTGGTTCATCTCCTGCAACCTGGGCTTAGAAATACAGATTCTTGGGTCCTGGACTTGATGGACCAAATTCTTAGGGGAATGCACATACATGTTCACTTTAATGGATGCCCCAGGAGAATTGTCTGATCTATAAAGTTTTTGAATTTTTGATATGTCTTAAGCCACTTAGAGTGATTGGGATGGCACCAGCCTTGGCCAGGGAAAATTGGCCCTGCAGTTTGACTACCAGAGCCAAATGCCTTCTAGGGAAATTATTGTGGAAAGCTGAAGAAACTAAAGGAGAGGCTTATTTCAGACTTTGATGAATTAAGTATCAGTGTCTCTCCAAGAGTTTGTGGTCAGAGGGTGTATTAGTGAGCTTTCTAGTACTACACTATTACCTAAGATGATTAACTTAGAAACTGAATATTTTGGCTCATGGTCTTGGAGTCTGTGATGGATTTGCTCCATTGTTTTGGGGCTGTGGCAAGGCTGGAGCATGTGGCAAAACAAAAGTGCTCAACTCATGGCTGGGGAACAGAGGGGATGAGGGGGTCCCACAATCCCCTTCCAGGACACACCACACAATCAGTGACCTAAAAACCTCCCACTAGCCGCCATCTAAAGACTTTACCATTTAAGATGCCAAATATAAAGCTGGGCAAGGTGATGCATACCTGTAATCCCAGCACTCTGGGAAGCTGAGGCAGGAGAAACAAGTTCAAGCCTAGCCTGGGAAATTTAGCAGTTTAGTTGTGACCCTGTCTCAATTTTTTTTTTTACAAATTAGCAATGGGCAAGTGCCAGAGAGACATGCAGAGTGGAAGGGCCAGAAGCTAAAGCCCTACAACAGAGGGCAAATGCACAGTGTATACAAGGGAGGCAGCGTGGGACCTGGGAAAGGTCAGATTCAGCCAGGCCATTTTGTTGCTTCAAGTGGGGACCTGAGGGTGTGCCTGACTCCCTTGAGGGGTGAAGGATTTCAGGTTTCAGACCTCCCACCTGATCCGTAGCATTGGTAGCACATGCCTTACAGGATAACTGCAGGGGTCACAGAGACCAAGCATTGGCAGTTAGAGACATAAAAGAAGACATCCTCAACCTTTAGCTCTTCAGCATAAAAAGGGATGCTCCATTAAGTGAAGAACCATTCCCTCCCTTCTAGCCCCAGAAGTGTCAAAGGAAAAAGGAAGTACCTGTATCTGACCACACAGAGGCATCAAATCGAGCACAGGGCATTGAGTCTGGGTCTGAGAGAGTTTCTGCTGCTGCCCAGGGAGCTCTCCAAGGTGCTAGATGTGTGTGCTAGCCTGGGGAGTAGGCAGCCTGAGCCAGTTAGTCCATTAGTTGTTTTCTTTCGTTTTGGTTTTGGTTTTGGTTTTTCGAGACAAGGTCTCACTTTGTAATGCAGGCTGGTCTTGAACTCAGTATGCATCCTAGGCTGGCCTCACACTCACAGTGATCCTCCTGCCTCAGCCTCCCAAGTGCTGGGATTACAGGCATGTTCCATCATGCCCAGCTTCCATTGATTTTTCTTCTTCTTTTCTTCTTCTTCCTTCTTCCTTCTTTCTTCTTCCTTCTTTCTCCTCCTCCTCCTCCT